CTTCTGTAGTTTTTCTTTTCGTTTCGAAACCAAAAATACAAAAAAACATCAGAAAAAAACAACGAAAAGCAATAAAGCCTTGTTAGCGCAAGCCGTGTTTTGCTGCAACTACAAAATACAACGAGATTGTATTGGTTTCAATAAGAGCCTGCTGCAATGATTTTCATATACGTAACTTTAGATCCCTTCATTTTTTTTATTATTACTATTACTATATATATATTTTTTTCTTTTTTTTGAGAATAATCATTCTATTTTTATCTCTATAGTGGTATTCACGAATGGTTGTAATGCCAATTTTGACAATCAATGATTGGAAGCAATATTTCAATTAGTTTTGCCATGGAAATAAAGATAGAACACTTTGGATTATATTTTTAGGAGAAAATCCAGGTATTTTATTCATCTTTCACGTATTCCACTTTAAACTACAAATACCAAAAAGATCGGTTGGAGAATGCGGAGAAGTTTTCAAAAAAGTGGGTGGTGCCATTACTACATAGATAATGTCTTAACACCGCTTGTAGAACCCATTATGTACGAAAAATATCAAATTTTACACAAATTAGAAAATATGGATTAAGTCGTCATAATACCGAGTATCCGAAGTTACCGTTATCTGTGCGCTTTAGGAAAACGTGGACCTACATATACCATTGTATATGTAGATTCACGATTTCCTAAAATGTTCTGTCACCGGAGCCACAACCCATTACGAACTACAAATACTTGTTTTTAGACAAATCCGTGGAAAATGTCAAATTTTGAATATATGGCTATGGGGGCTATAGTAAAATGTGCACCTAGACAACCAATGTTCGGCAACCAGAAGTAAAACCTGTTATTAAGTATCTATATTCCGTGAAAACTTTTGGCAAAAATAATCTAAATCATGGAGTCACCCAGACTGATAAATGACGTGACATGGCAACCCGTCATTTCTCTTGGCTCAGACCATCTCCCGAACCTTGTTGACCTCTTATAAAGCGATAGGTCGGGCTGTGGTTAGCTATGCGGCTCCAGTGTGGTCTGCGAATACAAGTGCAACGCAGTGGAAAAGTATTGACCTGCCAGAATGTCGCCCTGAGAACAGCAACAGGGTGCCTCTTCATGACTCCTGTGGACCATTTACATGAGGAGACGAAGATTATTCCCTTTCGTCAGCATAATCATATGCTTTCGTTGCAGTACCTGCTTAGGTGTTATCGTGGGATTCATCCTAACCACCATATGGTGGACAGAACTTCCCCACCCAGGCGTGTCAGGAAGGATCTGCATGATCTAGAGGAAGAGAGAGGTCCAGCCATATAAGAGAGAGCTTCTAGATCATGAAGCCTATCAATCGGGTCTGAATAGCATTCATACTGATGCAGTCGCAGAGGTAGTTAACAATTACAGTATGAAGCTGAAGAGCGTAGTATTAATCAGTCAATAAACAACGGAGCATGTTATCACTGCTACAACAACAATAACAGTTGATAATGAATGACCGTTAATATTATATTGCAATATCAGAGAGGATCTGGAGAAGCACATATGCTTATATTATTTGCATAAATTAAAACCATACAATTAAACCTGCACCATTGAAAAAGGTTACCTAAATCGTTTGGAAATAAATTAGCTTGATTATCACAATTATGGGAAATTTAACATTATCTGCGAACATCAAATATTCAAGTAATTTATGGAGTTAGGTAAATCCCTGATAAATAAAAGAAAGAGAACCGGTATAAGGTCCTTGCGGAACACCCGATGAAACGTTAATCGATTTGAATAGATAACCTTCAAACAAAACTGTTTTTTTTTATTTTCGACCAATTTAATTATTTATTACTGTTTTTTATCGGGCTTTTTTGGTCGGATTATTTTAAAATGAAAATAAGATTTTATTTTATTTTTTGCTCGACGTTTCGTTGTTTTTTTTTTCAACATTATCAAGATCTTATCTATTTGAAATTCTGGTAACAAAATAAAGAAAAAATTATATTATTTTATTTCTGGTGAATTATTGCACTTTAAATTTAACTTACTTTGATTATTTTTCATTATTATCTATTAATATGCATTAAAAACTGGACTCCACGGACATATAATTAATACAATAAATAATAATAAAATAAAAAATCACAGTTAAACTTAAGCTAATTTTATCACAGAACTGTTTCTACATTATCGCAATTGAATACTGAAGCTTAGTATTATCTTTGTCCTCTTTTGTGTTTATCGATTTTGATATTCTCTGTTGTATACGTAGGCTTTCTAATGTGTATCTTCTGTTTTCTTTCTTCTCTCTATCTAGGATTTTTTCGTTAGCCAAATCAGCTGTGTGTTTATTTTCTATTATGTGTTGTGATAGTGCTGTTTTTCCCGTTCCTTTATTTATGTCTGTTTCATGCTCTCCTACTCTCACACTTAGTAGTCAGTCGTTTTGTTGTGTCTATCTACACTCTCCCGCATTCTTCTTTGTCGATCCCCTTGCAAGTTATTTCGTATACCACATTGCGCTGCTTTAGTTTCTCTTCTTTTGTTTTTGGTTCTTTTAAATATGGTTTGCAGTGTTGCATTTGACTTGTGTGATAACATGGTTGCTGTGTCTTTTAAAATAGGTGTGTCTGGTTACTTTTCCAGCAGGAATTGTCCAGCAACTTCTTTCTGAGAGAGTAAGGTAGTTTTGTTCTCTTTTGCAAGGAAAATGCAAAAAGTAAACAGACGCTATTCCTGCAGAAGCTTGCAACTAATCAGCTGATTTGTCAAAACAAATCAATTTGTCCCCCATAAGGAGAATTAAAACAAAGGAACCAATACTAATTTTACAAGTTTTTTAAATAAAAATGTTGGAAATAGTCTTTTATTTTCTTATTACATATTAACATTTACGTTTTTCACATTTTGTAAAGTTGTTCTCTAAAAACAATTAGTCTTGCTAATTCCAAAACAATATTTTCAAATTAAAATCACAAAAAGAAATAAATAAACAATAGAAAACATCTGATTGAATGTCGATGAATGAGAAGAAAAAGTGTTGCAAGAGATTGCAAGAAGAAATTTGTCCAGCAAGAATTTGCAAACTCTCACTGAAAGAACTGTCAACATTTCTCTCTCCAACCGCTCTCTTTTGCAGAACTTTTGGGTTAACAGACGACTTCCAGTAACAATTTGTAACAATTGTTACAAACTTTAGGGTAACCAGACACACCTAATGCCTTTCAAGTTCCTTGTTTCTGTCAGGTTGGGTAAATATGGCACACTGAGAAAAAGTTTATCTTTCTTATCGATGGATTTTTTAGTGTTAATCATTGTTGTGTTTGAGGATTTTATTATGTCGTTTATTATATTTTGTGGGTAGCTATTTTTCTTCAGTATTCGTATGTATTTTTTATGCTTTTATCAATAAATTTGTCATCAGTTAAAAATGTTATTTTGTTCAAAAGGGCTTTTGCTGTATTTATTTTCATATTTTTTTTGGTTGTGTTGAGTGAGTTGAGTTAATTATACGTCCCGAAGAAGTATCTTTGGTGTACCATTCTGTTACCAGTCTATCCCCATCTCTTATAATGTTCATATCAAGGTATGGTAGTTTTTTGTTGTTTTCTTTCTCTATTGTGAACTTTAGCTTTTGATGGTAGTTGTTTAGAAAATTGAGGATTATATTTTCGTCGTTTTTGTTAATGATTGCAAAAATGTCGTCCACATATTTCGTTATAAGTTTAATTTGTCTTCTTTGGAAAGTTCTAAAGTAACGTCGTCAAGTAATGTGTAGAGTACGATGTTTGCTATCGTTGGTGACAGGGGATTGTCCATTGGTATACCATACGTCTGTTGGTAATATTTGCTGTTGCATTTAAAATAATTATTGTCTTTAAAAACAAAGTTCAATATTTTTAAAAAAGTATGTTTTGGTATTTTCGTATTTCCTTGAATTGTTTACCACTTGTCCATTATATTTTTTATTGCTAGATGTATGGGCATATTGTAAATAAGGATATTATGTCAAAAGATACAATTATTTCGTCCTTGTCTAGTACTATGTTGTTTAGTTTTTCCTTCAGTTCTATGCTATTTTTTATATTGTAGTTTTTTGATATCACATTTTTCAGGATTTTACCAATGTGTTGAGCTAAATTGTAGCACGGTACGTTCGTTGACGATGCTATTGGTCATAGAGGTGTGTTGTCTTTGTGGATTTTCGGTAATCCATATAATTCAGGGGATCCTGCAGCTATGCTGGTCAATTGAGATTCTTCCCATTTCGAAATTAGGTTTTTCTTATTAAGATCTGTTACTATGTTATTGTTTATTCTCTCCAGTTTTGATGTCGGATTTTCTTTAATTATTTTGTATGTTGATTTGTCTTCTAGTAGTGTGTTTAGTTTCCTTGTATATTCTTCTTTGTATAAGATTACAGTTTTATTTCCTTTGTCAGCGGTTGTGACTATTGTTTTGTCTCCGATGTCTTTAAGTAGTTTCCTTGTGTCCTCCTATATGGCTAAAATATATTTTTCTTTGCCATTATTGTATATGTTTCGTTTGTAGTTAGAAATTCGATTTGCTGCTTTTACCCTAGTAATTTCCTTTTCTGTGTTGTCTTTTATTGCTTGAACCCACTGTTCAATGTCTGCTATGAGCGATACTGCGTTAAAGTTTTTTTATGGTTACCGGAAGGGCAAATTTTTTACCCATGGATGAAATCCATTTTTGTTCTTGTGATCTATCTTGTAAGTAAGATGATACCCATTTGACTAAGTTAGTGCTGAAACCAATATAATTTAATTTATATATTAGCAGTTCATGGTTAACCCTATCAAAAGCTTTGATAAAAGCAGTGTAGATTGTGTCAGTTTGATTACGCTGAATGAATCCATTTGTCACTGTTGACGTAAATTGTATAAGATTTGTTGTGGTTGAGGGACCACTACGAAAACCATGCTGGTATGGACTCAATATAGATTGAATTTTCAGTGAAATTACTGCAGTAATTATTTTTTCTAACAATGGAATGACACCTTATTCTGCAATTCCTGTATAATTTGACACATTTGTAAGATACGATTTTTTCCAAAAAGTAGGAAAGTTTTTTTAATAGTTTAATTTATTGAATCTTTTATATATTTTAATGAAAATAACAATAAGGTTTCATATCTTATATACTAATCTATTTTATAAGGAGATTGTCATGCTTTATCAGCGTTCATGCTTTAATTATTAATTATTGTTAATTTTTTTAAGATATAGATGTGTGTTGTATGTGGGCTTGTGGATACAGTTATATCCGTGAATTAATTGAGTAGGTAATTCAGATAAGTTTAGATACTGTTATATCTAAGTGAATCGCGGACTGCAGGAATAGTCTTACGGATATAATGTTGCTTTCTTTAGATACAGTTATATCCAATCATCCCGCGGACTTATCGATTTCTTCACAGAAGCAGCTTCCAATTTAGCATACTACCTACCTGTAGAAGTATAACAGTGGGCGATGAAAAAAAAAAACGTTCAATTGGCCAGGCAAGAGCTGAAAATAATGAGAGAGTATGACAAAACATAAACTATGTGATAGAAAGAGTGTCACGTCTACGCAGTCTATCGTGTCCTCCGAATAGTAGGAGTTGGCTGGCCAAGCTATTTGGGTGCTCGGATAGTTTGTTTAAGTACTTTCGGCAAAGCTTCTTTATTTCTTCTTCTCAACGGTAATCATATTTAGGTCCTTGTGGATGTTTGCGTTCGTTATGTACCATGGTGCACCTGTAATAGATCGAAGAATATTCGATTGTCTTCTTTGTAGCTTACTTACGTTAGAGGCACTAGCTGTGCCCCAGTGCTGTATGCCATAAGTCCAAATTGGCTTTATTGCAGTCTTATATAATAGGACTTTGTATTCTAATTTAATAGAAGAACGTATACCAATTAACCACTCAAAATTGGCCTTTTTAGTTTAATTTGCGTGATTTTTGCATCGATGTGTTGCTTCCATGTATGTCTTCGGTCCAGGTGCATTCCGAGATATTTTACGATATCTTTCTGTGGAACTTGAGAATTAAAGATTTTTATCGTGGGGCTAAGTTCACGCCTTAGAGCAAAAGTAACGTGTATGCACTTGCATTTACCGAAAGTAGGAAAGTGACCAAATTTAAGTGAATAATTAAAGAATTAAGTTAAAGGGAGCGTTAATGTGTCTAAACAATACTTAAGAATTATATTAGGTATGCACTCCGGTCATGGACATCTAATCAATTTTAAACTACGTAAACTATTGTAAACCTCTTGACGTTGTGGGAAAGGCATACAAATTTGATCAGTCTATGTCAACTTATAGGTATATGAACTGGAATAAGTTGTGGCAAAAAAATCAGGTCAAGTTTGAAGATGGGCTATATCGGTCCACGATATCGTATAGCTCCTATATAATATGAATCCCAATTTTCGGTATTTTTGATTTTTGTCTAAAATTCTACACGAGGAGTTCTTTGTGAGTATTTTACCGCCTGGAAGAGAATTATTTATATAGGTTCACCATATCGTATAGCCCCCATCACTACAAGAGCAAACTTTGCTGTGAAAAAGATCTGCTAATAGAACTTGAGTCGAACTTGGAGAGTTTCTAGTGTTTAATTCGCATATGCTAAATCGATATAAGTTCAAAACAAAATCTACTTTCCAGAGAACGGCCCTTGTAAGCCATCATCCACACCAAATATGCCTGATGAGCCGCTTAACCAACGGCGAAACGCGTCGCATAGTGGTGGCTTTCCTTTTCACTGCAAATTTCAGATCATTAAGCTCGTCTCAAAAGAGAAACCAACACATAAAAAGAGAAGGAAGTAGTTGAGGGCAGAAACGATAAGATTTATGAATTTGTATCCTGACCGAACACTCTCCGAAACCTCAGTTGATGATTCTGCTACTGATCATAGCATCAATCCACTCAATTAGGTGTGGTGGTATACCAAGTTTTGTAAATGAATTACCACAAGTGTGACATTGTTGAAGGCCCCTTCGATGTCGAGAAAGGATGTCAAGGTGAAGCACGAGTCATTCAGGTTCTTCTCCACTTAACCCACGAGGATCGCGCTGGGTTTGTATCACACAAGATTTTGGAGGTACTTACAATTCTCTCAGTCAGACTCACGTCATCTGCCTCACAGTGCTGACTGTGTCGATCTGCCGTTCGAACATTTCTCGCATCTGTGCAATTCGAAAATTTAGTACTGGCTAACAGATTGAGAGTCTTTAGACCAGAGTCAGTCCAACTTCCGTCATTCCGTTTTACGCATCAAATGGATTTGGGATCCTTTGAACGAATTTACGGAATCTGGAAGCTTTATTGACATCTATAGACTCAGTAAAGCAGACCCATGATAACCTTTTGACCTTCTTGATCTCACTGCTTACCTGTTGAAGGCAGATTTATAAGCCTCCCAGTCTGTACTTAGTTTGGTCCTGTTGGCCCTCTTATATAAGTGTCTACTTGCATTCCTGAGATTGGCTAGTGATTTTGATCACCAAACAGGTTGGCATCTCTTGCCAGGGAAGGTAAGAGGACAAGCTTTCTTATAGCACCCAAGCAGAATCTTTCTTAAAAAATTTACGGAGTCATCCACATTTGAGGCCAAGGATACTGGCATATTACCCGTTGATCTCAGCCTCAATGCAGTATACTCCACGAATTTGTCCCATCGAGCCTTTCTTGGATGCCTATGCGGTTTTTGATGTCAGTAGAGGGTTGATTTCGGGCAGTAGAGGGATTACTGAGATTTGTTATATTATCATCCGTGATGGAGCATTCAGTGGAGACTTTCCAATTGAGTGATTCATGATTTTGTAAGCGTGAGATCAATGACCTCCTTCCTATTCTTTGTTTGAAAAGTGACCTCATTTCCCCTGTTACATATTTTGAGATTATGTTTAAGAATAAAGTCAAAAATGGACTCACCTCTGACATTGGTATCCTTATTGCCCCATTGAAAAGTTAGCATTGGCATCACATCAGACGACGAGGTTGCTTTTGGTTCCCAGTTCCGTAAACAGCTTCTATAATACTTTGCCCGGTGGGACAGGGTACTCAGAGGATGGGTGAAGGGAGACAAAGATGAGAACCCTCCCCGATCGCGTCTCCAGTCTAACCGCCCTGGCGTCTCCCTCGCTGAAATTATTGGGGAAGATTAAGTTCAAGCTCTTTAGCGACTATACACGTACTAACCTTTTCCCCGTTGGAGGTAGAGTAGGTAATGTACCGTTCACTCCCTAGTCCACACAGCTCAATGTTGAATATGCATGGTTCCTGGGCCAGAGGTATGTGAACTTCAGTCTTAGTGGGGGACAGAAGGAGTACAGCTGCGGCTGCTTTGCAGTGGTGCAGAATAATCTACATGATGCTAAGCAGCTACTGCTTCATTCCTCCTACTAAGTTAGACGGAAAAATCACTCTTGTGCCGAAGTGCAGTTTCCTGGCTAACAGTATAGATGGATACTTTTACAAACAGGCCTCCTCCCTCCGTACTTGAACCGACTAATCGCAAGTTGTCCGTACAGAGGTTGGGATTTTGCTTTCTCAATATTGTCAGCATGCGTGCTGGATCCACCGATGTTGTTTTTTTTCGAGAAGGGCGGACAGCTGTTTGCTCTGTCTCTGTGTGTTTTGGTATACTATGTCACGGTACGTCAGCAGTCATGTCCCCACCCGCATTTAAAATTATGCTCGTGGCCGTGTCCTACGTCGGTGCCTCCAACGAGAGGGTTGAATTGGTGTCAGCGTTTGTTTTTATTTTATAGTTTGTTTATTGTTCTCCTTAAAAGTTTTGGGCTTGGAGGTAACGAATTCCGCCATGACATAGTCACCACATAATGATAAGGGCTTGGTAGCTAAACCTGCTGCTCGTCGAGACGTCCAGGCATTGACAAGGCAAACGTTCGCATACAGTCGGTACCCTGACTGCAAACTTTAGAATGCTTATGGGCACGGTTTATGTAACACCCCAGCGTTAGGGAGTCCATTGCGGTGGACCAGTCCGTCCACTGGATAGTTAGGGGGCGCCAATAGCTTGGTCTCGTCGAGCCCAGGAGTTAAGGCTCGTTACGTTATTTTTAAATCCTAATGTTTGCTGACGACGTGGAAATGTTCCTTCCATTTAATCCCGAATATAATCGACTGCTATTACAGTCAGATAACCTTTTGCATATGTTATTTTTTGGAGTTAAGAAAATTGCATTGAGTTACTATTTTAAAGAATCGACTCTGTTACATTTATAAACGATCTTGAAACCCTTTGGAATCTTACATTTCAATTCCGCGAGCATGTTTCTCTGACTATTAATAAAGTATATAAAATTTGGTCTTTATAAAACAATGGAGCAAACAATTCTTGGTTTGTAACAGCTTCACATTTCTTTTATGCTTTACATCTTAAAGTATGGATCTGTAATATAGGATCCAGGATATATCATTCATTTTAATCTATTATCCGTCCGTTCAGAGCAGTTTTTATTAAATGGTGCCCAAGTAGAACGCAATCGTGAAATCGTAAATCGGTATTGTGAAGTGGTAACCCGATTTTTCTTACCTAGAACTGAATGAATGAATTTAACACCTTTAGATTTTCTTTTTTCGGTTTTTTGAAGTCTATGTTTCACGCGAATAAGCCGCAGCATTTATTCAAAACAGTCTTTGAAATTGTCAAGAAAAGATCGCGTGCGTGCAAGCAAGCCGCGGCGGGTCATCCGCACGGTATCTTGTTCCATATATAACTCCTTTCTTTCTACTTTATGTTATATATATGCTATCAGCAAAGCTGTTTTATTTCTTTTTCAATGTTAGGTATGTCGAGGTCCTTGTGATGTTTGCGTTTCTTATCTATGGTACACCTGTAATAGATCGAAAAATATTAAATAAAATTACTTAGAGGTACTATTTGTTCCCAGAGCCTTTTACCATAAGTCCAAATGGGCTTTATTACAGTCTTACACAATCTGGCTTTTTAGTTTTATTTGCGTGATTTTTGCGTCGATGTGTTGCTTCCATTTAAGTCTTCGATCCAGCTGCATTCCGAGATATTTTACGGTATCTTTCTGTGGAGCGTGTGTATTGAAGATTTTTATTGTGGGGCAAAGTTCACATGTTAGGGCATTTCTCCATTTTTTAAGTCCATTTTCGAGAAAATTTACATGGGTTTGTAGTTTTTCCATCATAGGATCCTTGTGTATAATAATGAAAGTTATATCATGTGCAAACGTTGAGGTGAGAGTTCACCAGCCAATAGTTTTCTAAAATATGAAAGTACGTCTTTCGATTTAACAACAAATCTGCAATTTGACAAATTGCTACAAGAAAGACTATGTGTGTTTTTAGGTAGAGTTTCCCATATTTTGTGTAGAATTCCCAGATGCCAAACTTTGTCAAAGGCTTGGGAAATATCTATAAATAACGCGGAACAATAATCTTTCCATTCGAATGCTATTCTAATGTTTGTGACTATGCAGTACAATTGCTCAATATTACTGTGGTTTTTACGGAAGCCGAATTAGTGGTTGGGAATAATATTACTATTTGTAAAATGGGAAGCTAGCTTTTTGAAAATCAGAGTATATTGCATATTGAGGATCCCATAAAACGGAACCATATTCTAATAGAAGTCTAACAAGAGACGTAAATAAATGTTTGTTATATATGGATCAGAAAATTCTTTGGTCCATCATTTTACAATACCTAAACACCATTTGCTTTATCTACCATCGCTATTACAAGACTATTAAAATTTAATTTTGGATCCATCAAAAGATCAAGTTGATAAAACATAGCCTTAAGATAAAACTTTGTTTTTATTCTTTAAATATATCCAAAGATTTATTGAAATTAAAAGAAATATTTTATGCTTCTTTACACAATTAAGTTAAACGAGAGAATGAATGCAAGAGAAAATAAAGAAGTTATAACAGCATTCATGTTGCTTAATGAGGGTTGCCATATATTTCCATCACTCCTCCTCAACATGAATGATGCTTTACATTTACAAAAGATCTCATTTTAGATTCATTAAATCTACAAAATTACAATGTTTTTGTTTAAACAAATTTTTGGTGAATACATCAGCAACCATATTTGTTGAAGGACAATATTTTAATTTTATTTCATTTTTCTGGACTAAGTCTCGGATGTGGTGAAAACTTTTGCTGCTTCGGACGACGCCACGTACTCAGCCTCTGTGCTACTAAGTGCGACTGACTTCTGCTTGTCGTCGATAAATTTTACAAAATATTTCGATCCTCCTACCGAAGTAGTTCTGAATGGACCGCACACGTCTGAATGGACAAGTTGCAACAATTCCTTCGAAATCGTCTTGCCATAACGTTTCCATTTATCCTCATGCCATTTACCATACATTTTCTGGAGAAGTCATTCAGGCTCCTGAAATTTAGATGGCCATATCTATTGTGCCACACCAAATTGTTGTTATCCATAGCGAACAATTTCTCACACGAGTTGCTGTTAAATACAAACATATTAGGTGTGTCTGGTTACCCTAAAATTTGTAACAATTGTTACAAATTGTTACTGGAAGTCGTCTGTTAACCCAAAAGTTCTGCAAAAGAGAGAAGTTCAGAGAGAAATTTTGACATTTCTTTTAGTGAGAGTTTGTAAATTCTTGCTGAACAAATTTCTTCTTGCAACTCTTTTTCTTCTTATTCATCGGCATTCAATTGGAAAATATTGTTTTCGAATAAGCTAGACTAATTGTTTTTGGAGAATATCTTAACAAAATGTTAAAAACATAAATATTAATATGTAATAAGGAAATAAAAGAGTATTTCCAACATTTTTAGACAAACGCCATTAGCAACAGGTTTAAAGGATTCCGGGGAATACATCAAATCTATTTTTCTTTTATTGCTTATATTTTTATTGCCAATTTTATTTTCATTTATAAAACTTGTAAAATTGGTGGTGTTTCCTTTATTTTAATTCTTTTAATGGGGGACAAATTGGTTTGTTTTGACAAATCTGCTGATTAGTTGTAAACTTCTGCAGGAATACCGTCTGTTTACTTTTCGCCTTGTCCATGCAAAAGAGAATAAAACTACCTTACTCTCTCAGAAAAAAGTTGCTGAAAAAGTAACCAGACACACCTATTGTCTTTTCTTTCTTCTTGCAATGGAATATCACCATCTGGTTTCTTAACTAATGCTCTCTTCAACTGCTTTGTTAACAGATATGAAATTAGCTTGCAACTCAGGAGAGTATTAAACATTTTCAAGTCTAATTTCATTATCGTTGGTGTATATGTTCACGTCGCCAATGCCATTGGTAAGGCATTGATGTATTTGTCACCAGCAAGTGTAATTCTTTCATTGTGTACTTTGAAATTTACAAACATTTCTCTATTTCTACACATATGTGACGTCGCACCGCTGTCTCTGCCACCGCTAATATCTTCATCGCCTGCGTTTTATTCTTTTCCTTTTCGCACTTATTCGCATAATGTCCGGTTAATCCACAGTTGAAACCTTTTCCTTTGAAACCTTTTTTGCTGCTTTGCTTCTTGTCCGTTTTGGAGTTTGCAGGTTGTGCGACAATTGCCTTTTGATTTATTGTCTCTTCCTCTTTTTCTTATCTTCTCTTTCCCTCCTCGAGCAGCTTTTGTCTTAGGGATGACAAAGTGGGAAGATCATCGCGGGTTTCCATTGCGATCACAAAATTGTCGAATTCTTCGGGAAGGCTAGACATAAGCATAAATGTTAGAAGCTCCTCCTCAATCTCAATTCCGGTTTCAAGCAATTTCTCGTATACTTCCGAGAACTCATTTAAATGTTGCACCATTTGGCGTCATCTTCAAATTTAACAACCTTTTGTCTAAGGAAACTTTTTGAATGGGACCTTTCGGCATATAGACCTCCTCCAGTTTTTTCCAAGCTTCATTTGAAGTTTTAGAATTCCGTATATAAGCCAACTGTGTTGGTTTAACTCCCAGGAAAACGGATGCCAGGGCCTTTACGTCTTCGACTATCTTCCAAAAACCAGCATGGATAAGAACACTCCGCATCTGGATTGACCATAGGTTATAATTGTTCTCATCCAATTTATCTATTTGAAGAACGAGTGAACTAATTTTTCTCTCCTTTCCTCTTATCTTTTAATTTCCAATCAAATTGCCAGTGTTGGGTGGACTGGACTAAATGAAGATCTTGGAGAAGCACATGTTTTTACATTTGTTAAAATTTAAATCCATACAATTTAACCGGCACCATTTAAAAAGGCTATCTAAATCGTAAATTAGCTTGTTTCTCGGAATTATGAGTGATAAATAACTTAACATCATCTGCATACATTATTTTTGATAGACACCATTCAAGCATATCTAGCTGTGATATATCTTGTAAGAAAGATGACATCCATTTGAATGAGTTTGTATTGAACTCCAAGTAATTTTATTATATATTAGGAACTCATGGTTAACCCTATCAAAATCGGTATAAATAGTGTTAGTTTGATTACCCTGAACAAACCCTTTTATAACCGTTGATGTAAATTGTATAAGATATCTAGTAGTTGAGAGACCACTGCGAAAACCATGCTGATGTGGACGCACTAACGATTTCTTTTTGGGAGAAATTACCGCAGTAATTCATTCTTTAAACAATTTTGGGATGGCACTTAATTTTGCGATTCCTCTATAATTTGAGACATTTGTTAGACAAACAGACTTGTGTAAATGTAATATATATGACATTCTCCATAAAGTTGGAAATTGATCAAATTTTAGCGAAAAGTTAAACAATAGAGTTAAAGGGAGTGCTAATGGGTCTGAACGGTATTTAAGAATTATATTAGGTATGCCCATGGACTCTTAATCGATTTTAAACTATATAAACTGTTGGATATGTCTTGACATTATAGAAAAGACATACAAAATTGATCAGTCTGTGACAACTTATAGGGATATGGATCTTTGATTTGGCAAGGCGTCCATGAATAAGTTGTAGCGAAAAATTCTGCAATATCAACGACTGTAACAAATTCTTTACTTTATATTGAGGGTTTTGAAGAAACCTCTCTCTTTAGATTAACACAATTATAGAAGCATTTACGGTTGGATTTAAATTTATTTTTTATCTTGTTGAGGTAAAGATTATACAACCTACGAGACTCGATAGTATATTTGGACCCACAACAGAGTAATTCGTATAATCTATAGATAGGCATGATTTCTTATATTTTCGAAAAAAAAATATTTTTGGAATTCTTTAAACTTGATAATGCATATGTTATCCATGGATATTTATTAGAGTTTTTAAGTGTAACCGTTGGAACGCACTCTAATAAAAGTTATTTAAAATATCATAAAATCTATCAAATGTACATTCAAGATCGGTGTGACTATTACAAAGGCACATAGATGCTCAGTTTACGGAGGAGATAAGTATGTTAAGTTTGCGACTGACATAGAAAGAAACTGACTGACTTTCTTCAATTTGATGAAGGTTGATGTCAGAAAATCGATTAATAACATGTAAAGTATATTGGTTACTTCGGACGACAAAGGAATCAAGGCTTCAGAATTTGGCAATGGAAGCCACCTAAAAGAAGGCATATGAAAATCACCAAGAATTAGAATCAATCATTTTTTACAGGGTGAGCAAAAATTCGCTCGCGAACGATAAAAAATACGATCTTCTCACTTTGCTCATTTTGCGATTGTATTTTAACGCGATAAATTCTTTAGCAAATGAACGTTCACCAAACGTACGTTCGCACACACATTGCAAACGAGTGCGAGCACACAACAGCGATCGTATATTATGTCGGTTGTGCGTGAGTGCAGTAAGCAATTGTGTTTAATGGTCATCAGTACCGAAGAAAATAACGCCCAAGATGCTATGACCATGTCACAGAAGTATTCAATAACTTGACTAGTAGCCGGTTCCCAATCCAACATAGTGGCAATATTCGCCAAAAACTGGATAATTTAGCAAATGGACAAAGAATGCCTTTCGCAACGAATATACTTGACAATTGGGAAAATTTGTCAACTACAGAAAAAGTTCTGTTTAATCTGGCTGAAATAGTTGTAGCAGTTCTATTAAGTCAAGTTTTGATTGTTAAGTTAAATAACAATATAATGGGAAAAGTAGTATCTCATAATAAATTTAAGAAATTTAAATGTAATGTCTGGTCTACATGTGTTTTGTTTTAATCGAACGTTCCCACTCCACAGTGGTCGAGGTCGTATGGGAACAGCGGCCAAAAATACTTTCAGTGCAGATATCAGTGCAGATATCAATATGAATCTTTGGTTATGGTACATTGATGGTATAAAAATAAAAAATGTTACAAAATGGATATGGTCGAGGCATGTTTTGGCATGGTCCCCTTACAACGTACCTCCCGAATAAGGGTTATTTGCCCAATTTTTGTCACATTTCTACACTAGATTGTTCTGTTATTTGACATTTTACGCTCCAAAGACCTAAAAAATAGTCTACTGAAAATTATTTGGAACGGTCCGCCTTCAGGTAGAGTCCCCCTTGTAAAGGTACCTAAAAAATAGAAGTATTTTTATACAAATCAATTCCAAATTTGATTATATTTTTGTAAACAAAATAGACAATGTTTTTGTAAACAAAATAAACAATTCAATATAAAATAAAATCAATGTTACTAATGGATATATATAAATTTCATGTTGGTGTACAATGTATAACCATATCTTGTACTGTATATATATCTACCTTGTTTAGAAATGTAGTAGGCATTGATATGTATACATGTTTTATATGAAAAAATATATTTTTTCATTCCATTCAAGAACTTAAATAAAGCCGTTTGTTTGATATAAAACCGCTGCGTGTTTCAAACTTTCCAATAGGTTATAGGCCCAGAGGTTACGTGGAATATATTGGGAATTTTAATTCGTCTTGCGAGAATTAATTTAAATCAGTAATTCGTGTTTTTAACGGCAAAAATGAATGGAACAAATTTGCAATTTCCTAAGCTTTCAAATTCCAACTATCATAATTGGAAATTCAATATGGAGCTGCTATTGCTGGAACGGGAACTATGGGATATCATCGTTCAAGAAGTGCCAAGTACTCCTGATGCGAAATGGTTAATTCGTGACGGAAAAGCAAGGGCGACTATCGGTTTAGCGGTGGAAGAATCTCAAAAAGTTCATATCAAGAAGCTTAAGACAGCTAAGGAATTTTGGAATGTTCTAAAGAAGCACCACGAGAAGTCAAATTTAACAAATAAAGTAAGTCTTCTACGTCAAGTGTCAACAAAGAGAATACAAGGAGGTCAGTCGATGGAAGAACATATCACGGAATTTATGGATATTGTGGATCGTTTAAATGACCTTGGTGAGGAAATTAGTGAGCACAAGACGGTGGCATTTTTGCTTGGAAGCCTGCCGGAGGAATACAATTCTTTGGTTTCATCGTTGGAGATGCGTCCGGAGACTGATTTAACCGTGGATTTGGTAAAGGAAAAACTGCTTCAAGAATTTAAACGGAAATCTGAAGCTGCTCCAATGGCTGATACTGCTTTTAAAACGCAAAAGAAATTCAAGCCAAAATGTTTCTCATGTGGTAAGATGGGACACATAAAGAAAAATTGTCCGAACAGAAGACCGAATGTAAATCGAGCAAATGTTGCGGAGAATAAAGAAAATAAAAATCATTGTTTCGGTGTTACGTCGAAAAGAAAGGAACATAATTGGTTCATAGATTCGGCTGCAACTTGCCATATGTGCTGCGATGAAGGATCATTTTGCAGATTGAATAAGCAACAAAATGATTCAATATATTTGGCTGATGGTACCGAATTAAAAGCAAGTGGCATTGGTGAATGTCGTCTGGTTTGTCAAAACAAAGAAATATGTGTACAAGGTGTTTTGTACGTTCCAGAACTTGATGGAAGTTTACTGTCAGTAAGGAAATTGACAAATGAAGGTTACAAGGTGCATTTTGATTCGGATAGCTGTTCAATATTAATGGATGGTCAAGTTTATGCTACAGGAAGTTTGAGGAATAATTTGTATATCCTTAATAGTAGTCAAATGGCGAATAAATTGTATTGTGACAAAGCGGAATGCATTCATATGTGGCATCGTCGATTAGGTCACAGAAATATTCAAGCGATCAAGACTACTGCTAGTGAAGGTCTAGCTGCTGGATTGAATATAAAGAAATGTTCATGTTCGTCTGCTTGTGAGGTATGTTTACAATCAAAATTAACAAGAAAGTCTTTTCCAAAAGTGTCAGAAACAAAATCCGAAACTATTTTGGAAATAATTCACGCGGATGTTTGCGGACCAATGCACAATACAACTCCGATTGTTAATCGCTACTTTTTAACAATGATAGATGACTACAGCCGATACTGTCATGTTTATTTTTTAAAAACCAAGGATATGGTTTTTGATAAAATAAAAGAATTTGTTGAAATGACGGAAAATCAATTTGGTAAACGAATGAAGATATTAAGATCTGATCGTGGAGGTGAATTTTGTAGCAAGAAAATGGAAGGATATCTAAAATCAAAGGGGATAATTCATCAACTAACTGCTCCCTACTCTCCGGAACAAAATGGTGTAGCGGAAAGAAAGAATAGAAGTTTGATGGAGATGGCTCGCTGCATGTTGAATG